CATTTACAAAATGTTTTGTGGGGGGATGCAATGTATTCAGACCAAAACATAATGATTTTTGATACCATATAACAGGCCTGACCCAAACAGTGATACCCACCTTCAGACCAGACTGACTCAAATACCACACCTTCTGATACCACAAATACCTGACTCTTTAACCTAGAAAGAGATTACCTGCCTACAATGCACATGTTGCAGTTATATTTTGTTATCTCCGTTAATTTTTGATTCCATAATTTATTTACATCATGGTTTGTTTTCTTTTAGTTAGTTCATTATTTTAGAATTTATCTTAACCCAATAATATTAACTAGGGATATTGAAAACAAAAATAACAAGCTAGAAGAAAATGAACCACAATATTATATTTCGTTGAAAGAAAAAATTAACTGAGTGTCAAAAATAAACAGGCAATCACTTTGGCTTTGGCCTTACTATAGGTTTGAAATGGCTGAGTAGTCTAATTGCATTGGTAAGTAATTGTTTTGGTTTTTGTTTTATGACACTCAATTGAAGAATGCTCAACAAAATAACCAACCATAAGAGGCACATGCTCTGTGCATCACAGAATGGTCCTGCTTGTTTTTTTTTTTGTTGTTTGTTTTGTTTTTTTCCACTGATCTCATACAAACAAAGATATCTGTCCATTAACTTTTCTCTTACAGTCTTCATCCTTGACTGCATGCATTTAGCAAATATCTTCTAAACTTGTGGTCTTAACAGAACAAAAAACATATAGAAAATGTTTTACAAAACCTGGGTTTCCTGCAAGACTATCCCGTGATGCGCAGAACATATATGAGTGCACTAATAAACAAAGGCAACTAAAATTTTGATGACTAATGCCATAAGACAAAAGAAGAGAACAATTATTAATAATAATGTTCTAATTGTTATGTACCAACCCCATTCTTGTCAATGCACACTTCTTGGGTGCAAAAACTCTTTGCTGCTGAATCAAGTCCTCTCTCAAGATTCTCTGCAGAAAACACCCTGATTGCAGGACATGACTGCAACATTCAATTGATACAAAAAGCCTAAGTTGAGAAGTGTCAAATTGAACAGTACATATCAGAGGTAAGGGAGAAACATTACTTAGTACCTTTGCTCCACACACTAAAGCAAAGTGAATCCTAGGGTCAACTTCTGTCACGGTGAACCGGAGGCGAGGATCAGTATCCTCAAATAAAGGTTTTCCTCCAGAGGGATGGGGTCTGTTACCTAACGGTGAAGGAAAAAGTTGATCTTTACTGTTTACTCCAATCTAATCATCATTATCGTCATCATCATAATGATCATTATCATCATCTTTATAAAGTTGGCAAGGCCGATAAGGTATGTCAACTTAAATTCCTTTATCTTAGTTTGAGTTTCCCTTTCCCACATTTAATATTCTTTGACTTGAGTTCCACTGCTCTTCTGAGTCTAGTTGTATGTTTCTCTCAGGTCTAGGAGGTATATTTCCCCCAGGGATTGTTGATGAGTTTCTGCCCTGGTGCAGTACAGGTCAGAAAAATGGGATAAGAGAGGCCCATGACAACTTCTTTTAGACAACGTCAGCTACTTTTTGAAAACAGTTTTCAACAATTTTATACAGCTGGTTATTTACAACAATACCCACCAAAATTCTGGTAGTTGCTGGGTCTTATTGAAAACAAGTTGCAAATAAAGAGACCCTGGCAGAAGGAATGGAAACTGTTCTTGTATAAAAAGTTAAGGGTTACTCAAGGCAACTGAACTTCTCTAAACTGGACAGAAAGCAGTACTCCACCCTCACCCCACAAAGAACACTGAGCAATACTAAAATATCCCAAGAGAATAACATTCTTATTTTTGCATAACAATCCAGAAGAGAGAAAGGAGAAACTGTTTGCACACTATGAGCATTACCTACACAGTCAAATTTAACTCTTGAATTATGATGACTTGTAAATGAGTAACTGTGGAAGTGAAACAAAATGAAGGAAGATAATAATACCACAAAAGTCATTTACCTCTGAGAATTCCATGTTCAATATCATCTAAAGAAAATGTGTAACCACCAATGTTGTATGAAGTTCTTCTCCAGAAATTCTCAACCTCTAGGACTGAGTTTGGTAATCCACTTTCACACATTGCCAAGCCATGAATTGTGAGAGAGTTGTAGATATCTCAGTACAGATTATATCAAGGAATTGTGAAACTTAAGTGGAAAGACTGTTCTTTTATTTTATTTTATTATAATCCATGCACTTCCCCTCACAGACATGGACTTAATTTATGCACCTAAAGAGAAAAAAGCAGATTTAACATTGATCCAAGCAGAAGTGATTCCACCCCTGCCCCCTTGCCACTGATGAGCTTAACCAATCAGCATTTTATACAGTCCAGGAAAAAATACATGAAAGCAAAATGAACTTCAACTAAGACACTAAGGCCATCCCATTTTCCTTTGTTAAACATCATAAGACTAGGGGTCAGTTGGTCGATCACAGTGAAAAATTAAACGTGCTCCCCAATTTATTAAAGGTCTACCTTTAGAAAGCTGCACTCCCATAGGCAAACAGGCACCCTCGGACTTGGGGGGGGGGGGGGGGGGGGGTGTTTTTTACTTAA